GCGGCGGCTGTGGCGGCGGCTGCGGGGACCTGCTGGCCTATCGCCGGGGTGCGTTCAGCAGCGTCGCTGCATTAGTAATGTCAGAGGGATGTGCTGATCTGCCGAGGTCGCCCAGCGGTCGCCTTCTGCTCGCCAAGAGGGCCGCAGCGTGGGCGACTTTCTTTTTCTCGAAGGCGACGGGCCTTTTCAGCGGCCGTGGAGAGGGCGACGCGCGTGCGATCCCCGTGGGTGTCCGCCGAGCCGGCGACGCACTCGCCAAATTGCCCCCTTGCGAGGGCGACGTGCGCGTTCGAGAGGGCGGCTGGCCTTTTCGGCGGCCGACGCACGGGCGGCGCACGGGCGACGAATGCGCGACGCACCTCCTGTCGCGAGGGGGGGGGGGGTCAGCGCGCCGGTCGCTTTACTGGGCCTCAACGTAGTTGGTAAACGGAAAGACGGGCTTGCCCGCCAATTTATAGTAGGCGGCTACATCAGGTACTGGCGGGAACAGGGTTACACCGATCATCAAACCCGCCACTGCTGGTCATTGCAGAACGCGCAGCGGGGTGAACACGCGGGCAACATCGCCCGTTCCAACAGAAGAGGCGGTGCCAAGACCGCTTGAACGTTGGGGGGGAGGCTGACAAAAGAGCCATCATTGCGCATCGGAAGGGGCGCCGACGGAAGGTCTGTGGATGCGAGCATTTCGCAGATCAGACTAAATTGCCCGATGGGGCGCCCTTCAAGGGGCCCTAACGTCGAGAGGGTCCCGTGGTTCTGGTCCCACGGGGGCGGCGAAGGTCACAGGGTGGGCCCGAGCTGCAGCCCCGGCAGCTTGCGCCTGACCGAGGCGGACTACGGGCCGCTAGACGCGTTCCAGGCAGAACTCGTTGAGAAGGAATGGGAAGACCTCGATGAGGATCACTGAGGATCACCGACTTCAGCGTTGCAATCGGGGGTGCCAAGAGGCCCGACGTGAAGCGCAAGCGGCCCCCTCTGCGGGGGGGCCCGCTTCTTCTCACGAGGGTGCCGAGAAGGGCCGGGGGAGGCTGGGTAACCCGCCAGGTGCGGCTTGATCCCGCTGCACCTGCGTCTGCGTCTGTATCTGAATGCGAATGCGAGTCCGGCGCTGACGAAGACGCCGATGTAGAAGTGGACGCGATGCGCAGATCGCGGAGGACCCGGTCTTGGAAATGGGTGGCGCAGTGGCGTATTGAAGCAGAGACATGGGATGGATTACTGTCTTGGCGCGAGGCAAGCCGCCCAATGGGGGAGAGGCCAGTTGGATAGCAAAAAGAATGCCAAGATCGAGTATGTGAGGCTCCACCGTCCGGCGCGGAAGCCGCCGTCAGACAGCTCCTCGCGCGCGAGCGCGGGGGACCTGCAGCGTCCGCCAGCGCGGGGGAACCCGCTAAGGAAGCGGGCGAGCCCCCGAAGCCCCCGAAGCGCTCTCAGAAGGAAGTAGATCTATCTCCACCTTCAAGCGCGCCGAGGTCACTTAGGTCGAAGGAGCGAACCGGCTCAGCAGAGGTCGACTTTGTAAGAAACAAGGCGGAGCGATCTGACGGGGGGCCCGCGGGGGAACCTGCCCGTAGATCACCTTCCAGGGGGCCGGCTGTGGCAGCCGCGGCGGCGGCGTTCCAGTGCGGCAGCAGGCCCAAAAAGAAGGGGCCTGTTGCGCTGCGCGGTGCCATTCCTGGAAGATCGCGGAGCTGGCTGGTCGCCCTCGCTGGGCGGTTCATCGGTGCACCATGCCTCGCAGCCTGATGCGTGAAGGGAAGCGCCCCAGACTGCGTCAAGTCACCAGGAACTCCGAAGGTGAGCGGGTGCCAGTTCACGGACATCCGCGAGAAGGAGAAGAACCCATCTGGAACTGCAGGGTCATCCGCAGAGCCCGCTGCTGCGTCGGTTTCTGCAGGGGGGCCCGCCGCGTCTGCATCTGCGGGGCGACCTGCTAACATCCTTGAAATAGACGAGGGGCTTGGGCTCTACTTGGGAAGACTTGGCGCCCCGCAACAGATGCCAGTGAACCCGTCCTACCATTATACTTCCGATGATGGTTCGAGCCGGTACAGAGTAGTAATATGAAGAAGTATGTGCGGCATAGTGCGTGACAGAGATAGCCGCCGAACGCCAGCGCGTCCGCAGTCAGATGCGGCACGAGCCAGTGCTTACAGCAGTGGGGCTGAATGCTTGCCGACGACACTTTACGAGGCGAATGAGGATTCGCGGTTCTTGAGCGAGAGAGAGACCAGCGCTACTGCTCGGAGTGGCTCACTACAACCAACTGGCATACGCGTGCGCCCGTTTTACAGAGATGATATCTCGCTTTGTTTGACGGTTGGGTACGCCTCAGTGATTTGCCGGAAAACTAGCCGCCAAACGATTATGAACCCTATCATCGTAAATACCATGACGTCGTCGAGAGGTGCCTCCGGGTAGGCATTTGGAATGTCGAGCACTAGAGGTGCTGAAGATGCGCGAGATGGTCGACCGCCACATTGGCGCGCAAAAGAACCGGCCCCAGGTGAAGAAGACCAACTTCTTCGGGGAAGCCCGCCCGACTAACTATCTGCGGCCCAGCAATGGGCGCATCAGTCCAGGCCTCAAATGCCCAGAACCATTGTTCTCTAGAGTGACGGACCTGACAGAGGCGGAGGCGCCCCGCGACTTCATGCACGGGGCTTAACGGATCCCGAGTGCATTGAATGTCGGTCTGTCGCGCCGAAGCCAAGACAACCCTGAGGGGGGTTCAGGCAGACAGATGGTTCATGGATGTTCGTATATGCCAGGCGTAAGCGTATCCAGTCGGGCCCGCGGGCAGACGCCGAGGTGATGGTTCTAGTTCGCCTCAAGAACCGGATTCGAGATGGCATCCCAGTATGGCGATCCGCCAGCGGTATCATAATGACTTGGGGGGTTAACGGTCGCACCCTGGTGAAATGTCTCGTCCACCTCGTCGGCGTTGAGGGCAGCGGGCGCGAGTGCGTGCGCTACCGCGTTGGACAGGTATGGGTCGATGATCTACGCGCTGGCGCTCAGCGGGGTGACCTGCCAAAGTTTAAGTTAGCGCGGCGAGAGTGGTGCGATCGACCATGCGATCCCGCCGCGCTGAAGGGGTGGGTTGTTCTAGATGTGCCCGTCCACCTGCGTGTGTCCGCGCTGAGCTCACCCACAGACGAGGTTCATCATGCGTCGATATTCAGGCCGCAAGAGGTGAATCCAGCGGGGCCACCTCCAGATGGCTCTGATGGGTCCTGGGTTCAGGCCCAGAGCGCGGGTGTGTCGGGCATCGTGTCCAGTGGTGCAACGCCAAACGACGGGCTTTGCCGACGACCCGTGGCGCAATCAGGCGCAGCAACTGCTGGCGCCCGCGGGGCAACCTGCTTTTTTTGCGCCTATGAGTGGGCCCGCGACTCCGTTGGGTACTCCGCGGAGTGCTGGTGGCAGTGACAGCCTACAGGCCAGACTCCAGAGTATGAGGATGGATCCACGGCTTCACAGGCCACATCAGTTTGTGCACCCCCACGTGCTGCAGCACCACAAACAGCGCCGACGTGGCAGCCAGTGATCATGGGCCAGTGCGGCAACATGAGGCCCACGACGGTGGCTGCCCAGAGGGCCGACAGCATGGTGGGGCAGCAGCAGTGGATGCACAGACAGATGCAGGAGGCTCTGGGGAGCATGAGGCGGCATGGTATTGTATTTGCCTGATGCAAATCCGTCGCCGAACCATCCGAACCGGTATGGATGCATACCTGCGTTCTTCAGCAGCCCAATTTATGATCCGACAGCGGCCAACAGGCCAGTGGCACTACATATGGATTTGGCTATGCTCCCTGGCTATGATGCGCAGCCGACAAGGGTGCCCCGGGTCGGGAGTTAACCCGAAAACCCGTACGTCAGGGCGACAGCAAACGACTTTTACAGGTCTCAGCTTACAAGGGGAGCGGGATACGAGGCTGGTGTTCCCGGCCAGGTGCCTCACTACGGGCGCCCGGCCCCCACAATGGACCAAGATGTTACTCCAGATGGTCCAGGGCTGCGGAGGGGGAATGGCGGCGGCCCCCCCGACGCTTGCAGCGTCCGGGGTGGGGGGGCCCGGCGTCCGCTTCTCTTCTTTGGCCCCCTCTCACACCCGTCGGTTTTTTTTACTGAACTGATGAATCATTCTCATCCAAGGGAAGGGGCATCACCTCCCTGGGAAAGGCAGGTGCCCTGCTTGCAGAGCCCCCGGCGCCGCTGCCCATGCAAGGGGAATCGCCGTCACCCCACTCTTCCCGTTCTACCGCTATCGTGCCGCTTTCAAGGATCACCCGTGTGCCAATGCGAATGTGTATCCTGTTCCTTGCCCGACGTCTGTGGTCATTTGGTCTGAAGCGCTCGGCCGTTTCTGGATCACCCATCCACAGCCACACTGGGGCATTAGGTTCCCGGGAGTGGCAAGCGCCCTGCGTATATGGCCATTGGCACCGCCACGCATTGAAAAAGGAATCGCCGTCACCTCATTTTCCCCTTTAACTTGCTATCGCGCCGCTTTTAAGGCTCATCGAGGATACCCACCCCACAGAAAAATTCAGCTGCCTCCGAGAACGGACCGGAAGCTCCCGCAGATCACTGAAAACATCCCAGCTCCCTGTCCTCTCCCCTGTAGGCGCGGCGACTCTCTCTGAACCATTTTGTCCTGTATCGTTTGTCCTCCTCATTCTCCTTACCGTTTTTCCCAATCCTCTTCCTCCGTCTGTTCCCACTCTTGCCCCGCCCCTTTTCTCTACTCCCTCCATCTCTCCCTCCCTCTTGTCCTCTCTCCCTTCTTCTCTCCTTCCCTTCCTCCGCCCTCCCTCCCTCCTCCCTCCCTCTTCCTTGCACCTTTTCCAAATCTTGCTTCCTCTCCAGAAGGCTTTGCGTGTCGCCAGGGGCCTCCGCAGGCCTCCCGAGACTTATTCATGCTCAGGGAGGGCCCGAGCGCCCCAAATAATCTCGACCATCCGTTCTCGACCCTCGACCCTCGCCGGTTCGAGGTCGCCACTGGCTGGCTCGACGGGGAGGAGGACGTGAACGTCAGCCCACAGAACTCCTTTGTGAACGGGCAGATCTCGACGCCGATTCCTACGTTGAGTCGCTCGGGGTCCGCCCTGGGCAACCCCCTGACGAGGAGCTCGACCCCGCCTGGGGTCCGGGGCATCAGTGGGGAGTGGAGGAGGGGGGAGGAGGGTGGAGGGGTTGACTGAATGGTGGAGGAGGGAGGAGGGAGGAACCCCAGTGGTGCCGTGGGTGGAGGTTGCTGTGGGGAACGATCTGCCGGATAGGTCTGCCTAAATTTGCGGGGGGTCCGCTATACGAACTTGCTCATTGGGGCCATGGGTGGTGCTTCCTGTGGGGACATGGAACGGGTGAGGCGTATGTGAAACAGGGATGCGGTAACGCATGCGATTGGGCCCGCTGAGGCCGTAGGTGGAGCTCCCTGCGACGTGCGAAAGGCGTCAGGGGTGTGCCGAAATGGGCATGCGGAAAGCAGAGACAATGTGAGGAGGGTGATGAGGAGGGGGAGGGGGAGGGGAAGAAGGAGTAGGCGTTCGGCGCGGCGAATTCAAATCGAGGATCCAGAAGACAGGAGGGTTGGTACCACATATTATGAGGATGAGGATGGAGAGACGCAGGAAAAGCAGGAACAGGATCTGGATAATATGATAATAGCCATGATAACCATCAAAGGGAATGTGTACTGGAAGGCGATGCTGCTGCCGATGATGCTGATGATGGTGGTGGTGGTGGTGGTGGCGGTGATGATGATGCTTAATGCTTCTGCTGCTGATTTTGGTGTTAGTTTTGATGATGGTGATAGTGATTGGGAAGGAGAAGAAGGAGGAGGAGGAGGAGGAGCAGGAATAGGAGAACATGTAGGAGGAAGAGGAGGATGACCGAGAACAGGAGTGGGAGCAGGAACGGGGGTGGGTGGGGAGGAATGGGGGAGGCAGGCGGGAGAAGGATGCGGAGGATGACGAGGAAGACCCCGCCCCCTGCGCACAAACAACGGCCCGCAGTGACCGCGTGGAGGTACTGCTGAACAAAGCGGCGACTGCGGCCTCCCTCCCTCCGATGCTCTCTCGCTCTCTTGCTGTTTCCTGCGTGCGTCCTCTCCATTCTTTTCATGGAGTTTGGGGATCTGGATCTTGTGGGAAGTGGGGTCGGGTCATACCATGCGGGGCGTGGACGGGCCGATCTCGTTGAGGGGCAGTTTCGGCGCCCGAGGGAGGGGGGCCAGAGCGGGCCATCGAGCGTGGTGTCATGCGGAGACGAGGGGGTGCGTTCCGTTCCCATGTTCCGTTCCCGTGGTGGAAGCGTGTGGAAACGTTCCCATGTCCCGTTCACATGTCGCCGTTTTTTTTTTTTTGGTTGTTGTTGTTTTTTTTCCATATATGTTGCCGTTCCCATTTTTTCGTTCTGTTCTGGTGTTGCCGTTCCCATGGTCCGTTCCCATGCAACGGTGAAACGTGTGGAGTCGTTCCGTTCCCATGATTGCCTGATGGCGTCGGCTCTGCCGTCGCTTTGCTGGCAACGCGGGTGCCAATAGGCCGCTTAGGTGCACCGCATGTATTCCTGCGAGATTGGCATCGAAGCAGTGGGCGGACGCAATGAGCATGAGCCAGTACCAGGACCGATAGCAGGAGCAGCAGCAGCAGCAGGATGTTGATGTAGTGTATGATGATGGTGATGATGATGGTGGTGGTGATGATGATGATGATGCTGACGCTGATGATGTAGATGCTCATGACGATGTCGATGCTGATGATGATGATGCTGATGATGATGATTATGATGATGATGATGCTGATGCTGATGCTGCTACTTCTGAGGATGATACTGATGGCAGTGATGGTGATGCCGTTGATGTTGATTGTGATGTTGATGTTGCTGTGGATGGTATTGATGGTGCGGATGACGATGATGATGATGACGACGCTGATGACGACAGTGTTGACGGTGTCGATGCTAGTGATGACGATACGGATGATGTTGTTGGCGATGGTGATGGTGGAGCTGATGCTGCATATGCTGATGAACGAGATGCTGACTATGATGAGGAGGTGCGGAGGACGCTGACGATGCTGATGATGATGATGAGGATGATGATGATGAGGGTGGTGGTGATGATACTGATGATGATGACGATGATGAGGATGATGGCAACGCTGACGATGGTGACTGTAATGAGTATGCTTGTAACGATGCAATGATGATGACGGTTATGCTGATGATGATGGTGGTGCTAATGCTGATGTCGATACTGATTATGATAATGGTGATGATGATGCGGGTGATGATGTCGATGGTGATGCCGATTAGGATGATGCTGATGACGGTTATGCTGATGATTATGGCGTCGCTGATGACGCTACATGTGATCATGTTGATTCTGATGATGATGACGATGACGCTAAGGTTGACGCTGCTGATGATGTTGAGGATGCTGCTGCTGATTGTGGTGATCTTGATGCTGATGATTATGCTGACGATGACGATGGCGATGATGATGATGCTGATGATGCTGACGATGGTGATGCTGATGACGACGATGCTGCTGATGATGATGATGCTGCTGACAATGATGATATGCTGACGCTGATGTCGATGCTGATGATGATAATGATGATGACGACGATAGTGGTGGTGGGGGTGGTGATTCTGATGGTGATGGTGATGGTGATTGTGATGGTGATTGTGATGCTGATGCTGATTCTGATGCTGCTGCTGCTGACGACGATGCTGATGATGATGGTGCTGATGATAATGAGGATATTGATGCTGCTGCTGATTCTGCTGATGATGCGGTTGCTGATGATAATGACGATGCTGACGATGTTGATGATGCTGATGCTGATGATGATGATGATGATGGTGGTGGTGGTAGTGCTGATGATGCTGATGATGATGGTGACCATGCTGTTGATGACGCGGATGACGATGCGGATGATGATGCTGATGCTGATGCAGATGTAGTTCTTGATGATGATGCTGATGATGATCATGCTGATGAGGATGATGCTGCTGCTGCTGATGATGATGATGATGATGATGATGATGGTGATGATGATGATGATGATGATGATGATGATGATTATTGTGATGGTGGTGGTCGTAGTGATGATGATGCTGATGATGATGCTGATGATGGTGGTGGTGATGATGATGATGATGGTGATGATGGTGATGATGCTGGTGAGTAGGAGGAGGATGAGGTGGAGGAAGAGGAGGCGGAGGCGGCAGATGCTGATGGAGCATTTCGCTCGGACGGCAATAAGGGAGCAATAGCCGCGGGTGGGATCGAGGATCGCAGGCACGTGACCCTAGAGGGGTTCCCAACGGCCCCTGAACTGCCACATCGGATCGAAAGGGTGTCCGACAGGGGCATGTTTCCTTCGCTCCGCGTCTGTTTCCCCCCCGTTTGCGAACACCCGAGAGTATCCTGCTGTCTGCGGCAAGTTCCGTCACCCTGCCAGCGCACAATTCTATGTATGGCCGCTACACTTCGAGCCCCTGTAACCTGTGTCGCATGTCGTTTCTGATCTTATAGGGCATGCCTGGGCTGTCTTTGGGTGGTCTGAGACTCCTGTGGAGCTGTCGCGAGGCCCTCGTAGGATCCTTTTGGGCCGCCTTGAGTCCTCCCAGGCCATTCTTGGTACTGTCTTGGATCGCCTAGGACCCTTCTCGAACGCCTGGAGAGTCTCTGGGGTCTTCTTGGGGCCTTCCCGTGTTGTCGTAGAGGCTCTTGGGCCATCTTGGGCTTTTCTTGGTGCTGTCCGTGGTTGGGTCGCGTTGGGTCCTTTCAGGATCTCTGTGGCTATTCCGAGCAACCATCTTGAGCCGAGAGTCCCAGGAAGCCCAGCATGTTTACGGCTAGTGGAATCCTATAATTTTTGTATGATTTTGGCTTCTGGCGTCTTGGAAGGCTCATGAGGCTTTTTGTTTGCGCGTCTCGGGGTCTTCTTTGGGGCAGTTTGGTGCACCTGGAGATGATGGCTGGCCATCTTGGCGGTCTTTGTATCCTTCCTGGGCCATCTTGGACACCTTGAAGAGCGTCGGACATCCCCCTGTCCCGTTCTCGGGCCGCCTGGGGAGCCCCGGGAGGGCGGCGGGGAGGGGGATGAGCGTAGCGTGATGTGATGGGGGGAGGGGGGGGGGGGCTAAGACGACTTATGGGAGGAGGAGGATGAGGAGGATGGCGATGCGGAAGAGCAGTAGGGGAAGAATGATGATGATGATGGCGACGGAGAATACCAAGATCATGGTATCGCTGTTTCGTGAAAGACAGCCCTGCAGGCCCATGGTGACGACGAGGACGACCACAACGATGATGATGATGCTGATGATGATGATAATGATGATGATGATGCTGATGATGATGATGATGCTGATTCTGATGATTATTGTGGTGGTGGTGGCGAGAATGCTGATGATGTTAAAGACGGTACTGAGGATGATGCATATTATGATGCTGATGATGATGATGATGATGATGATGATGATGATTGTGATGATGGTGGTGATGCTGATGCTGATGATGATGACGACGCTGGTGACGATGACGATGACGATGACGATGCTGCTGATGATGATGATGATGATGATGATGATACTGATGATGATGATGATGATGATGATGATGATGATGATGATGATGATGCTGATTATGATGATGTTGACGATGCTTCGGATGGTGATGCTGCTGCTGATGTTGATGTGGATGGGGATGATGATGGAGAGGATGAGGACGTTGATAGCGACTGCGAGGATGGCGATGATATGCTGATGATTATGCTGGTTCTGAGGAAGGTTATGGTGATGACTGTGGTGGTGATAATAATGATGACGGTGGTGGCGGTGGTGGTGGTGGTGATGATGATGATGATGGTGATGGTGATGCTGTGGATGTCGATGATGATGGTGAGCATGGTGTGGATGATAAGGAAGGTGATGACCACGACGCTGATGACGACGCCGATGACGGCGATGGTGATGATATTCTTGTTGATGATGATGATGACGATGCTGATTGTGAAGTTAATGATGATGCTGATGAGGATGATGATGGTAGTGACGGTGATGGTGACGATGATGACGCTGCCGTGGCTGATGATGGTGATGATGATGCTGATGCTGTTCATGTTGTTGCTGATGCTGTAGATAATGCTGACGGAGGTCATGACGACACTGTCGATGATCATGGCGATGATGCTGTTGCTGATGATGATGCTGATGCTGATGATGATGATGATGATGATGATGATGCTGACGATTTTGATGTGACGACATTTTTCGGTGATGGTGATGATGATGATGATGATAATGATGATGATGATGGCTATCATGATGCTGATCATGGTGATGGTTACTATGATGATGATGATGATGCTGATGATGATGATGACGACACTGATGACGATGATGATGATGTGATGATGATGATGATGCTGATGCTGAGTCTGCTGCTGCTGCTGCTGCTGATGACTATGCTGGTGATGATGGTGATTCGGATTCAGATGATGATGATGATGATGATGATGATGATGATGATGATGATGATGATGATGATGATGATGATGATGCTGATGCTGATGCTGATGCTGCTGATGCTGCTGATGATGATGCCGGTGGTGGGGGTGGTGGTGGTGATGATGATGACGATGATGGTTGTGGTGGTGGTGATTCCTCTCGCTTCGCGGGGTGCACGTCCGGAGCACGTACAGTCCAGTCGTTGTGGGGCCTCTTGGGAGCCTTTTTGCGGCTTCGTGGAGGCCTCTTGGGGGCCTCTTGGGGCCTCCAGAGGGCTTCTTTGGGGCCTCTTGGGGCCCCTGCGGGGCCGTCTTGGGCCGTCTTGGTGCGTTCTTGCGCGGTTTGGCCCCTGCGGGGGCCGTCTTGGGGGCCTCTCGGGGCTCCCTTGGCAATCTCATGACTCTTGGGGGCCTGTAGAGGCCGCATTGGGGCTCTCTTGGGGTCCTCTTGGGCCGTCTTGGGGGCTTCTTGGGGCGTCTTGGGAGCCTCTTTGGGTCGTCTTGGGGCCCTCTTGGGCCGTCTTGGGGCCCTCTTGAGGGCTTCTTGCGCCGTCTTGGGGCCATCTTGGAGGCTGCTTCGGCCGTCCTGGGCCTCTGAGGGTCGAACTAGGCGAGAACGTTGAAATCTTTCAAAACCCGATGGACAATTAATGATTTTGGCTTCTGGAGGCGCTCTTGGGTGTCTCATTGGGGCCCTCTTGGGGCGTCTTGGGAGCTTTTTGGGCCGTCTTGGGGCCGTCTTGGCCCGTCTTGGGGCCATCTGGAGCCGTCATGAGGCCCTGTTGGACCCCCAAGAGGGCCAACATGCCCAAGTCATATATTTTCCATAGGTTTTGGTAGGTTTTTGAGCCCCAGGAGGGGGTCGTCAGCCTGGGTCGGTGGATGTGGCGTAGCCCCTGGGGGGGGGTTAGGGGGGGAGACATAATAATGTAACGCATTACAGTATGTGGGAATTATGAAACAATTAGATACGTTGGATACGTTGCAGTATCGCCTCCGCAGAAAACGCTGCCGCTCAGCACGTCACTTCCGGACGTGGATTCCTCTCGCTTCGCGGGGTGCACGTCCAGAGCACGTACAGTCCAGTCGTTCTTGTGCCTCGTGGCAGCCTTGGGAGCCTCTTGGGAGCCTCTTGGGGTCCTCTTGGGTCCTCTTTGGGGCTTCTTTGGGGCCTCTTGGGGCCTCCTGGGGAAGTTGTGGGCCGTCGTGAGGCGCTCTTACGCCGTCTGGCCCGTTCGGAGGCCATCTTGGAGGCCCCTCGCGGCCTCCTTGGGGCTCTGTTGGGGTCCTCGTTGGCTGTCTTGGGGGCCTCTTGGACCGTCTTGGGGGCCTCTTTTGGCCGTCTTGGGGCCCTCTGAGGGCGTCTTGGGGCCCCCATTGGGTGCTTCTCGAGTCTTTGTGGGGCCATTTTGGAGGCTGCTTGGGCCATCATGGGCTTGTCAGAGCCGAAAAGGCGAGAACGCTAAAATCGTTCAAAACCTACAGGAAAATAAATATTTTTGGGCCCTGGAGGCGCTCTTGTGGGCGTTCTTGGAGCCCTCTTGGGCCGTCTTGGGGGCTTCTTGGGCCATCTTGGGGCCATATTGGGCCGTCTTGGGGCCCTCTTGGCCCGTCTTGGGGCCATCTCGAGCCGTCTTGACGTCGGCGTAGACCCCCAAGATGCCCAAGGGGCCCGAATCATCGGTTTGCCGTAGGTTTTTGTTGGTGTTGAAGCCCAGGAGGGGTCCACCACCTTTGGGTCGGTGGATGTGGCGTAGCCTGGGGCGGGGGGGGTTAGGGGGAGACACAATAATGTAATACAATGCAACACCTAGCAATTATGCAATCATTGGATACATAGGATACGTTGCATTAGGGCTTCCGCTCCGCTGTGCGACCTGCCTCCGGCAACACGTCACTTCCGGACGTGGAACGTGGGTTCTATAGGCTTACGCCACATCCGTCGACCCCTATATAAACTATTGCGCCTCCAGGACTGCACTTCACGTCCGAATCATGACACGGCGCTCGATATCGTTCCTGTTGCTTCGTTGCTGTTATCGTATCTCTTGGTGCTCTTTTGTGGCCTTCCGGTGACATCTTGGCCTGTCTGCAGGCCATACCCGGCCGCCTCGAGGCATCTTGGGCCAAGTTTTGGGTCCTCTTGGGGGCTTCCTGGGGGCTTCTTGGAGGCCTTTGAGGTTCTGGGGGTCCCTCAGGGCCTCTTGGGGTGTTCTTGGGGCAGGCTGGGGGCGTCTTGGGGCCGAAGGCTCGAAAAGGTGCCCTCTGGACTCTGTCTTGGAGCCGTCTGGGGGCCCTCTTGGGCTGTCTTGGGGGCTCCGTGGGCTGTTGTTGGACCCTCTTCGACCCTTCTTGGGGGCCCCTTTGGCTGTCTGGGGGCGATGTTGAAGGTTTCTTTGCCCGTCTGGGACGTTGTGAAAACCGTCTCGGTGAGCATGCGACAAATGCTTGTTTTTCGACGGGGATGGGACGATTTTTGTTTCTTGGGACCCTCTTGGGGCGCGTCTTGGAGGCCTTGTGGGGCGTCTTGGCAGCTTCGGAGGCCGCCTGGAGGCCATCGCGGGCGTCCAGAGCCGATATTTCGGCGAATCGTGGCCCCCTGGGACTGTCTGGGGAGCGTTTCGGTGCTTTCCTGGCGAGTTTTGAGCCCTCCGCTCCCCTGTGGCGCGTTCGGTCCGGGGTCGCGGTCGGCCATGGGGGGGTCAAATTGCCGGTTTGGGGTCCCTGGGGGGGGGGGTCATGGGGGGGGGATAATCTCACACGTTTGGACACGCACAAGGGGTCGGCGGATTATGATGATCATCATCCTGGTGCTGTTGGCGATGCTGCTGCTGCTGCTGATGATGCTGATGATGGTGGTGATGATGATGACTGTGTGATGATTTTGTTTGTGATGATGATGAAAGGAACGATGATGTTCAACATGGATCATACGCTGCGGATGATGAGGATTAGAAGACGGATGAGAGGGATGGGGGCAAAGGAGTAAGAGGATGACGAGGACAGGGGTCGTAATCAAATTCGGGGCGAAGACGAATGTGCGCGGTGCTAAGGCGAGAGCCATACTTTGAACACTTGCCCTCCATCCGTGAAGCTCTTGCAAACTTTTAAGCGAATGTGCGCGACGCTACGACGAGAACCGCATTTTGAACACCACCCGCCCTCCATCTGTAAAACTCTCGCAAAGTTCAAGCTTCAGGACCATAAGTGGTGAGGAAGTCTGAGGCGAAACGCCTGGCCCGCGCTTTCGACCAGCCTCGGGGTGCGACAGGGAGGAGTTATTCATAAGAAGAAGGATTTGAGCAAGAGGAGGATGCGGAGGAGGAGGCGGATGCGGATGCGGATGCGGATGCGGAGGTGAAGGAGGAGGAGGAGGAGGAGGAGGAGGAGGAGGAGGAGGAGAGGAGGAGGAGGAGGAGGGGGAGGCGGAGGCGGATGAGGAGGAGGCGGAGGAGAGGAGGAGGAAGATGCGGAGGATGCGGAGGATGCGGAGGAGGAGGAGGAGGAGGAGGAGCAGGAGCAGGAGGAGGAGGAGGAGGAGGAGGAGGAGGCGGAGGCGGAGGGGGAGGCGGAGGCGGAGGCGGAGGCGGAGGCGGAGGAGGCGGAGGAGGAGGAGGAGGAGGAGGAGGAGGAGGAGGAGGAGAAGGAGGAGGAGGATGAGGCCTTCTTGGGCCATCTTTGGGGCCTCTGTGTTTGCGTTGGGGTGTTTGTGGGCCCCGGGCCCCCCTTTGGGGGATGGTATTCTGATCCGGGACCCTCCCCGGCTTACTATTGCTTAATGTTTTTTGTTGATGTGGAATTTCTGTTTTGTGAGGAACTTGGTATGTCTGGTATGTCTCTTCTGATGTTTCCTGGGAGCTTCTTTGAGAGTCCTCTTGGGGCGTCTTTGAGGCCCTTTGGCTTTCCTGGAAGTCTTTTTGAAGCGTATTGGGTGCCTTTGGGGAGCCTCCTGGAACCTCGTGGGGGTCTCTTGGGGACCTCTTGGGGGTCTCTTGGGGACCTCTGGAGAACCTCTTGGGGGGCTCCTGGGAGCCTCCTGGGCGTCTCTTGGGGCCCTCTTGGGGTACTCTTAAGAGCCGTTGGAGCAATCTTTGGGCCATCTTGGAGAAGTTCGATCAAAGAGGGGGGGGGTCGCAATTAGCCTCTCCGGGCCCCGCGAGGCCAACACTGGCACCCAAAAGGAGGACAACCAGTGATTGCTGCTTTCTCGTTAAGGCCTGACTGGGCGCCCCAATCAGTCCCGGGGTCCCGCCCAGGTCAAGGGGGTGGGATAAGGGGAGGGGTGAACCCCTTCCCGATGGGGAAGAAGGGGTGCTGGAAGAGGAAACTTGCGAAACCACTCACGCCCAACGGGCTGGTGGGATTGACGATGATAACGACGATGGTCACGGAGATGTGGAGGCTGATGATATTGATGATGTTGTTGACGAAGGATGAAGTTGACCGTCATAAAGTTGAAGGAGTGATC